CTTGCCACGTTGGTGAAGAAGAGGTTCCAGCAGAAGGAGCACTGGGACACAAAAGGCAATCCGTGAAGCCCAGCTGCACCAGCTACGCCCACCTGTGTGACAAGTGACAGCCAATGGGCCTGCCTCTTCTAACACAGACCTACACGCTCGCCTCTTCCCCCTGGTGCTCCACGTGAAGACGAGGAGGAGAAACGTCTTAATCCCCTTTCCCACTCATAGTTGGGGGAGTCAATGGTGAGGCACGGATGTCAATTGAGAGGCTGGTGTCCCCACCTGCCCTTGTCACCCTTGTCCCGCTCTCTTCCTGGAGATGATGGGAACGTCCTTTTCGGACAGGCCTCTGCCAGATGCTATTTTGGCCTCTCTCGCTGTCATGGTGCGTGAGTTCAGTAGAGCAGGGTACAAAAGCCCACTTTTCTGCTCATGTCAACAGAATGTCTGTCTGGGGCCAGGGGAAAGCTACGTCCTTCCTCACAAATCAAAAGCATCTTCAGGGAGTACGTGTGAGTGGCAGGCAGATTCCAAGTCCCATGTCACGGGCACCTCTGTTTCAGTTCTGCCCAAGGTAAGGGCTCTGCTGGGGTCATTTGCTCTTACTCCATATTACTTTCCCTCCGGTCTTCAGTTTCATACATCACAGGCTAGAATAAGCAGTCTGAATGAGGATTCACACTGGAGCCCCATGTCATCTCCCATCCCTTCTCAGTGCTGTGGCTACGGGTATGCCTTTGGAATGACCTCATAGTAATTCCCCTGGGTGAATCACCTGGCGTCCTCATTAAAATGATGTGGGACCGGTGGTCTGGGTGGGACTTGAGTTTGGGCATTCCTAAGAGACCCCTGGGGACGCTTCCATTGCTGGTCTGGGGATTGTACTTGAGGAGCAAGGTTCTCTCTGGAATCACTTCTTTCCCCTCCAACTTGGTACGGACTTGTTCCCACTGAAACGGGGAGACATTCTTCAATTAGCAACCAGGTAGCCTGCTCCTCCTCATGCATAAAAACATGTTGCTGCCCAGTCAGTTTCCACTCATAGTGACTCACTCTGGAGGGTCGAGAACCACCATGCCCCCCGAGTTGCCTGTAGTCTGTACGGAAGCAGGCAACCACAGCTTTCTTCCTACCTTGCAGTTAGCAGCTGAAAGTTTCCTAACAGATACATATCTGCTACTCCTGCACGGTCTTCACAATTCTCAGTACAGCCTCAGAGCTGAGCCCCTAGTCCCCAAAGAACATGAGTTAGATCCAGATCCGGGGAGCCAACCACGTACCGGTCAGTGGCCATGCTGACACTCAGTAGGGCGTCCGTGCATGGGCGCCCATGGGAAGGGAGCGCATTCTCCAGCCCAAACGACCTTTCCTTTGCTGCCAATATTCTCCATTATTTCTTCACCAGAGCATGAGAGAATGGAGTTTAGAGTTGTTCTCATGCCATCTTGCGCTGAGCTTTCAAAGCCCCCAGTGAACAGGGCCAAGTGCCAGCAGCCAGCAAGAGGCTCAGACCTTGGCAGCACAAGGACCGAGGCTGGAGTGATGATTCCACCTTCCTCATCTGCCCTCTGATGGCTCGTCAGCGGAGCGTTCCGGACAAGGGACCAGGCACACTCCCCACCCGCTGGGCTTGGGTGCCTGTATCTCCCTGCAGCGACACAGCGAGCTCATTTGTTTCACTTTGTGAAAACACTTCATTTCCCCCCCAGACTTTCCCATTTCACGCTGTGTGGATTTTATTAAGATCTCTTTCGCAGAAGCTAACTGCTGGCTTGATGGGGCCCGGAGG